AGGAAAGGAAACTGGGGCAGGGGGAGGGATGGAGAGGTAAGACACTTGTGGGACACAGATAAGGTTTTTTAATCTGTTGACGAGGATGTGAATGGTAGTCTCAACTGAGCTGGACTGAGGTGTATATCATGCTGGGTAAAGTTTCTTCACAATATAAATAATGTATAGTGATTTAATGTATGAATAATAATTTTAAAAGATAATTTAAAAGCTTAAAGAAAAAGAATAAACTTCAGCATCCAACACCAATCGTTACCACACACACACTACCAAATATTTTATGCTTCTGGTGGAAGAACACAATACCACCTATGAAGTGGTCTTGCCTGGCAAGAGAAATGATATCTAAGTAAGATCAAGACTTTCCATCCAAATATTAATTGATATGAGAATGTCCCATCCACAAGTCCCAGCTGGGAATCTCTACAGGACAATAAACCCAATTTTCTTTTATTTTATTTTCCCCAAAGTTTACTTAATTATTTTTTCAATAAGAGAGATAGAGACATACAGACAGACAGACACCCTCAAAAAGACCTTCTTGCCACAATCTACTCCCAGCCTCAGCTAGTCAGGATAATGGGCATATGCACACCGAGCATGCACAAGGAACCCTAAGGACATGAACCTGGAACCTTCTTGCATAGTCCCATTGTTGTAAACATTGTATTACCACTGTGCTTCAGCAGCTAACTCCAATTCGTTAAAGAAACAAATGACAAGGAAATAGAGATGGAGACACAAATTTTGCAATGTCATCAATGCATCACAAAATGTGGGCCTTATGTGGATGCTGACTCAAACCAACTGCTAAAAATACTTTAATACATTTATGAGTTAACTTGGAATATAAACATTGGCCAGATTATTTGGTGATATTAAGCAATCATTGTTAATATATTTAGGGACCAGCAGTTAGCGTAATGGCTATGTCACTGGACTCCCATGTGGTCGACCACAGTTCGCGTCCTAGACCCGGTGGCTTAAAACTCATGCTGGGCGCATGTGCGTATGTGCCCAAGATCCTGAGAGCAAAATGGAGGAGAAGGGATTGTAGCGTGGCCATCCCCCCTGGGGGGTGATTTCTTGCTGTCTCTCTGTCTCTCTCTGTCTGTCTGGCGAGCGCACGCACCCTATAGCGAAAACCTCTCCCCAAAATACATATATATATATTTAGGTAAAATAACAATATTGTCATAATATTAAAGACAAAATTTCATTAGTTTAGACATGTACACTAAAATATTCACAAATACAGTAATATAATATCAGGAATTTGTATAAAATAATATTAGGGGAGTAATTAGGTAGAAATATAGATAAAATAAATTTCACCATGACTTGATCATTGTTGAAACTGGGTGATTGGTACACAAGATTTTTGTTACATGATTCTGCATATTTTTGTGTATGTTTGAAATTTTCTGGGGGACCATCAGTTAGCATAATGGCTATGTTGCTGGACTCCCATGTAGTTGACCGCGGTTCGTGTCCAGGACCCGGTGGCTTAAACTCATGTCGAGTGCATGTGCATGCCCAAGATCCCGAGAGGAGAATGGAGGAGAAGGGATTGTGGTGGGCCATCCCCCCTGAGGGGTGATTTCTCACTTTCTGTTTCTCTATTTCTGTCTATCTGGCAAGTGCACGTGCCCTATAGCAAAAACCTCTCCAAAGAAATTTTTTCTGTAGTTAAGGTTTTTAAATAAATATGCAAAGAGGCCTGATTTGATGGGTGGTAAAAAGAGTTCTTATTCAAGCACATATGTGTTCCTCAGCCCTGTGTTTGAATTAGGGCAAAACATCAGCAGTGGTAAGACCCCGGAGAGTGAGGAGAAAGGAAACATGCTAGGCAAATAGGCTCATCAAAAGCACTGGCCCTAGAGTGCAAGTCCAAGAACCAGGCAGAAACAACATCAGAAAGAATTAGCAAGAGGTGGGGGAGAAACTCACATGGTAGACACAGAGATACTTGCTGCCTAGGCCTGCCAGACTGATTTCCAGACCCCACCCACTGGCAGACACAAGGCACTCCATGTACTGCCAAAGCTGGGTAAATTGATTCCAGAAGTGGGCAAGAATGAGCTCGCCAGTGAAGGTCCCCCTGCCTAAGCCGAGCTCCACAGGAGAAAGGCAGACAGTCATACCGCAGTGCCTTCACCCTCCACAGGGAACACTGAGGCAATGTTAGGGAGGAATAGGAATACACAATAGAAAGGTTTTATTGCCTACTGCCCACTCCGGAAAAAGTTCCCAGTTCCTGTGTGGTTGAGACCACCATGTTGGAACCACACGACCCATCACTCTGGTCACAGCTGAGTGATCCAAGAGGGCACACTGAACCCAAGAGAGGAAAAAATCTGTAGGCTGAGCTTAATCCATCATGTCGCTGTCTTGGTTTCTCCGAGAAGCCAAGACTGAGAACTGTGAGCCACACCATGAGATAATGGGGCCATTGGACAGATAAGAGCATGAATTCTCATAGTAGGTCATTGAACCAGATGGTTGTTAAGTTTGCCTTCAGTTTGCCTGTGTGATTTGGGGCAAGTTATGTGGCCTCTTTGAGCCTCAGTTTCCTTATCTGTAATGTGGGGATAATAAAGATAACTGTTTCAAAGGGATCTTTATGAGAATAAAATGAAAATGCTTATAGAACACTTAGATAGTAAAACTCTCCTAACTCTAAGCTATTGTTATTATTATTATTTGTAGTAGTGTGAACATTGCCCTTAGTTATGACTATTTGGGGCCACATGAGAGCAAGGGAAGCCTGTCTACACACAAGCAACACTGATGTGACTAACCCACTTAAACCTCGCAACAACCCCTATCCAGCAGCACTGGATTTCCTCATTTTACCAACGAGGAAATTGAGGTACAAACTGAGTGATTTGCCAAAAGTTTAGGAAGTGGTGATGGCAAGAATGAACATGAGGGCCAGTCGGTGATGTGGTGGTTAAGTGACTAGATCTCACATAGCCAGTGGCGCAGTTCAAGTCCCAGACCCAGCAACTTGAAAAACATGCCAGGTGCATGTGCGTGTGTGTCCAAAATCCTGAGAGGAGAATGGAGGAGAAGAGATTGTAGAAATAATGAACATCAACCTTCTATGAACACTTCATTATGCAGATGAGAAAAACCAAGGCTCGGAGAAGGTCATGCCACCCTTGAGAAGTGGCCAAAGAACCAGAGAGCACAACTTATGCTCCAAAAGTCCAGCCCTGGCTCCTGTGAGTCCCAAGCGTCTTTGTTTTCCAGTGAGATAATCTGTTGTCACCTTCATTGGAGGCCCCTGTCTCTCCCCTCCCACCCTGTTACCACTCAACCTGAGAAGTTTTCTGCTCTTCATTCTGACTGAAACAACAGGAATCACAAATGTGCTTCAGTCACCCACATTACAATCCTAGGTACTAACCCTTCGTTCAAGGGCTTCTGGTGCCAGGAAAAACATCTTATAGCAGGGAATACATCTCAAGTGTCTGGTTACTCTGGTGGAAGCTTATTTGGTCCCTGCCCGTTTAATGGCCACTTCTACATGTCATCCCTGTTAACTAGAACGAACGCTCACCACACAAAGAAGACCTAGACAAGAGGGTGGGTCAACACGTGGCCAGGATAAGATATAGTGTGGCAATTCCCTTTTGAGAAAATATCCCTTCAGCCATGAGTCACAAAATAAACAAAGACGAGGCAAAACCACTAACGAGAAAAATAGGAATGCTACAATGTTGAGGGAAAAGCAAAAAGAACTTTGCAAATGAGACCAGACTAGAAAATAGACCTTCTCCTCACCTTGCCTATTTTTCCACTCATCACCTCCAACCCTCAAATTTTTTTAAAATATCATTTTAAACAACATTATAAATTATGCCATCCAAGATAAAAGTTGTCAAATGGGAAGAGAAAAATATAGCAAAGAATATGAGTTATCAAATATCTGAAGCTAACGAATGGTCCTACTCATTTCTAATTCCATCTAAAAGGAAACTTCCAGCTCCATACCCAACAATCAACAACTGGGAGACTGTAGAATTGCCCATAAAACTTATAAGGCCAACATGGATTTTCAAAGACAAAAGAAAGTAAATGATTCTCTTTAAATAGGGCAAGCAGGTGGCATAGTGGTTGAGGCACTAGACTCTCACATGGCTGACCGTCATGGTTCAAGTCTCAGATCAGGCAGCTTGAAACTCATGCCAGGCGCACTGCAAGTGTGCTCAAAATCCCAAGAGGAAAATGGAGGAGAAGGGATTGTGATGTGGCCCTCTCCCCTGGGCGGGGATTCTCGCTTTCTTTCTCTCTGACTGTCTGGTGAGTCATACACCCTACAGCAAAAATCCCTCAAACAGAAGCAAAGGAAGGGGCTGGCAGGTAGCATGGTGGTTAAGGGAGCTGGGCTACCACATGGCCGACCATGGTTCGAGTCCAAGACATAGCAACTTGCTTTATTGCTTTCCTTCTCTCTCTCTCTCTCTCTCTCTCTCTCTCTCTCTCGCTCTCTCTCTCTCTCTTTCTCTCTCTTTCTGTGTGTGTGTGTGTGTGTGTGTGTGTGTGTGTGCCTCTCTGACCAAAATAAAATAAATAAATAAGTTAAATAAAATAATTCTTTAAAAAAAAGAAAAGAAAGAAAGAAAGAAAAATAGGGGAAGAGCTAAGCGTAGCGAAGGCAGGCTGTCCGAGTTTACAGAAGCACCATAATTCCCAAGTCAGATAGTGCTGCATCCGGGCACTGTCACTTGCTCAGACCACTGGTGCCTCAGTTTCTTCATCTGTACAATGAGAGTTGCTGGGAAGATTCATGTGCAGTAATACACTGGGCAGGCTCCATTCATGCCCACTTCAACTCTTTAATAAGAAACGTAATCACAATAATCCTTATTGTGACTGCCATGACACACGTATTTAAGAAAGTCATAAGAAGTAAAGTTGTCCCCAAAGCTGTAACCTGACCGATAGCAACCTTAAAAACAATATGGAGCCAATACCAGGTCCTCTAATTCTAGAGTGTGGAGATGGTGGAGAAGAAGGAGTGAGCTTTCTGCTGAAGCCTCCTCAGGAGCTGTCTGAGGCCACTGTGAAGCAAGGATGCTGGGTGGAAGAAGAGTGAAGGAGGATCCAAAGGGAACACGTGAGTTGACACCGGCTCCGTACTTCCTCGGTGTCAGGTACTAAGCTGAGAGCCGCACACACCAAAATCTCATCTAATCCTCTCATGACTCCACAGTCAGACAGGCATCATTCTCATTGCTCAGATGAGCAAATCAAGAGTTAGAGATATTCCATGACTTGCTCAGGATCACACAGCAAAGCACCTGCCAGTCCAGAGACTTTGAGAACCAAGAGCTCTAAGGGCCAAAGGTGCTGGAACATACTCCTTCTGATCTCAAGGCACAGTAAGGATTAAGGAAGATAAAATGCTGGATTAAGAAGGAAAGAAAAACAAAAAGCCTCCATTTTCTAGCTGACATCTACTAGTACCTAAATACATCATCTCAGTTCCTGTTCACGACCAGCAGTAAGATCAGTCTCATGGTTTTATCTCACAGATGAAAGGCTAGAATTCAGAGAGGTTAACCATTGTGTCCAGAGACACACAGTGAGCAATCAAGCCAGAGAGCAACCAAGGGGGGTTGATCCCCAAGGGGGGTTGATCCCATAGCACCATATCACTCTGCTTTTTATTTTCTTTAATAATTTTTTTTTGGAGAGGTTTTTGCTATAGGGCACATGCCTCACCAGACAGACATAGAGAGACAGAAAGACAGAAAGCAAGAAATCACCCCCCAGGGGGGATGGCCACTCCTCAATCCCTTCTCCTCTATTCTCCTCTTGGGATCTTGGGCACGCACACACATGCGTCTGGCGTGAGTTTTAAGCCACCAGGTCCGGGACTTGAACCGCAGTTGACTACATGGGAGTCCAACAACATAGCCATTACGCTAACTGCTGGTCCCACACATCACCCTGCTTCTGCAAAGGTTGGAGACCAGTGGAGGAGCTCAGCAGGGGCGTGGGTATAGGCGACTTCCCGAAGCACAAAGAGAAAATCCTGTGCAACCGAGTGAGATGGAAAGCATTGACAACCTCCAATGGGAGTGGCTGACGGGTCCAGGACTCGGGGCCCTATCACAGGTGGAAGTGACCACCAGGCGACTGTACCCAGAATGCTGGGGACCCACAGGGAAGGAAGCACAGCTAGCTGGGATATTGGGATATTTGAGTAAAAACCTTACAGATGCACCCTCACAACCAGACACATGCACACTCGCTCACATGCATACATGCACACACACAGTTGGCATACTCAAAAGCATGGAGTGTGTCAAGTCTCAATTTGCGCTTCTCTGGAGAAAGTTCTCAGATGACCCGTGTTGCCGTAGACGTAGTCATAGCTGTAGCAATTACTACTTAAGTCCTTTCAGATGGGGAAGCAATGCTTGACGTTGGGTGATCTGCTAAAACAGGATTCCCAGGGTACCAGCAGATGGTAATGGTATAATGGTTACATCACAGGACTCCCACATAGTCGACCACAGTTCGTGTCCCAGACCTGCTGACTTAAAACTCACACTGGGCACATATATGTGTATGTGTCCCAAAGATCCCGAGAAGAAGAATGGAACAAAAGGGATTGCAGCACGGTCATCCCCCTGGGAATGATTTCTTGCTTTCTGTCTCTCCAGCGAATATATGCATCGTATAGCAAACAAACAAAAAAAAAAAAAAAAAAAAAAAAAGAAAACAAAAAAAAAAAAAAAAAAAAAAGAAAAGAAAAGAAAAGAAAAGAAAAGAAAAACACCTTTCTTAAAAAAAAAAAGAAAAGAAAACAAGAGTCCAGAAACCTTAGTAGGGACTTCTACAGCAGGTGGACCCTATTCCATCACCTTCAACTTTCTGCCGACTGTCACAGCGAGGGGATTACTGCGCAGAAAAGCTGGTGTCACTATGCTAGGATAAATGAACTGGTTTGGGAATCTACCGGCCTGAAGTCAGTTCTCAGTCCATTTGCTGTTGGCACGACTTGGACTAGACACTTCACCTGTCCCAGCTCAGCTTGGCCATCTACAAAATAGCAGTCAAAGTCCTCACTGTAATGGTTTGTGGAGGGTTTAATGAGATAATGCAGGAGCAAGACTTGGCAGAGTGCCTGGCCCTAGTGCCAGGCACTAAGTGGAGGGCAGCTGTTATTCAAGTTCACCACAGCCCAAAAAACAAGAACATCAAGAGCAAAGACATAAAGATCAGGTAAAGACCAAACCCTACATGGGTCAGCAAGTGGCATGGTGGTTTAGGTGCTGGACTCCCATATGGCTGTGGTTCAAGTCTCAGACCTGGCTACTTGCTTTTTCACTTTCTCTCTGCACACACTCTGTGGCAAATTTTAAAATACTAATAATTGGGGCCAGCAGGCAACATAGTGGTTAAGGGACTAGTCACTCCCACATGGCCAATCACAGTTCAAGTCCCGGGTTTGGTGGCTTGCTTTCTCATTTTCCCTCTCTCTCTCTCTTTGTGTCTCTTTCTGGTCAAATTAAAATAAATGAATGAATAAATAAAATTAAATAAATAATTCTTTTTAAAAAATAAATAATAACAAAATTAAATAATTCACTTTAAAAAAAATAAAAAACAGGAGCAAACACTACACTCTCATCCCATAAAACATGCCCAGATGTCGAAGCTCAGGTAAGACAGAAATGTGATTCTAATGAGCCTAATATTCCCAACCGTGACAGGTGAACAACGTAGGTAAGCATTTTGAGTATTCACTAAATGAACTCAACGGGGTGGTGTTGAAAACTTAGGTGAAAGGGCTAAAGGCCATCAGAGTGCCTGCAAGTCTGCCAGAAGCCTGTCCCAGCAACCTGACTCTCCACCACACATCCTTAGTTGAAAGCACACCATTTATAAAACCATCTGAGAAGGCACTGGCCAGGAAAGAAAACTTAGTTTCCATGGATCAGCAAAGAGGAATCTACTCCTGACAGCCAAAGCCTTCTCGATACCTTTCTCACCAATTAGTAGAAATACAACCTGGATCTCAAAGCCAAAATAAACTGCTTGCATTCACGCGGCTTTTCTCAGACAGTCAAGCATGACAAGCACCTGAAAGCCCTTCGGGTCCACCCTCGCATGGCACAGACTCCAAGGCCACTTTCACATTGCACATTAAATTCCCTGTACTGCAGCTCTCAGGAGAAGAATGAACCAAGAAAGAGACTTTGCATCAAGTGCTTCCTTGAAAGCCAACGGCAAAAAGAAGAGCAGTAAGTACACGCACAGTAATGTGAGCTGACAGAACTCAGTCACACCGATACCACCCGAGAGACACACAAGGAAAACATGGGAAAGGACTTCAGAATTTAAACACAGACATAGGAGAGCACATGCGTAGCCTTCAAAAAGTTCATGAAAAATGCGTATTATGAAAACAATGCATGGGTTTCGAAAACCTTTTGTACCAAAATTAATTTGTACTTTCATTCCATTTTTACACAAACTTTTTGAAGTCCCCTTGGATTTATATCTGTTGCAGCATAACCACTTAACCCACTGTCTAGTCGCTTAAAACAATAACAAATACGGATGATCCCATGCAGTTTCTGTGGGTCTAGCATGCTGCAGCACCTTTGCGAGGCAGCTCTCACCCAGTCTTTCATAAAGTTGGAGTGAAGATCTTGGCCAGGAATGATATTTGAATCTCAAAATTTCAAGACTGGGAAAATCCTGAGAGATCATCCAACATTGTCATTTTCAAATAGTTTTTAACAAGAGGACACTTTTTTTTTTTTTGAGAGGTTTTCGCACATGCACTTACCAGACAGACAGAGAGAGACAGAGAGATAGAAAGCGAGAAATCATCCCCCGGGGGGCTGGCCACTCCGCAATCCCTTCTCCTCCATTCTCCTCTTGGGATTTTGGGCACGCACGTACACGTGCCCGGTGTGAGTTCAAGTCACCGGGTCCAGGACTCGAACCGCGGTCAGTTATATGGGAGTTCAGAGACACAGCCTTTACGCTAACCGCTGGCCCCAGCAAGAGAACACTTTTGTCAAATGACATTTTGTACAAACCCCAATATAGAAAATAGAGGGATAATATTTTTCCTATAAATGTGTCATCCTAATTTCAGGTTTTCTATCTATAAAACCTGTCAGTGAGTTTGATCGAGGCCAGCCCTCCCCATCCACAGGGAGTGGGTTTCCCACAGAGAAGAGGGCCTCTGTGAGAACAGATGCAGAGGGAAAGTGCACTGGTCAGACAAAACCCATGGCTACCACATGCTCTATCATGCATAGAATACAATACACTTTTAAAAACAAGAAACCGTCAATATGCAAAGTGATCTTTGACATTATACAGGGGTCTTCAAAAAGATCATGGAAAAAATCTGTATTATGAAATCCTATGCATAATTTTCCATTTTTTTCTTGCACCAAAATAAACTCATATTGGGGCCAACAGGTGGTGTGCTGGTTTCGGTGCTAGACTCCCACATGGCCAACTGCAGTTCAAGTCCCAGACCCAGTGACTTGAAAATCAATTTTTACATGCCAAAAATTCTGAGAGGAGAAGGGAGGAGAAGGGACAGCCATGTGGCTATCCCTCCAGGGGATGATTTCTCACTTTCTGGCTCTCTGTATCTCTTTCTCTTCTCTGGCAAGCACATGTACCCTATGACAAAACAAGCAAACAAAAACTAAAAAAGAGAAAGAAGAAATATACTGTAATTCTATTTTTCCATGAACTTTTTGATGTCCCCTTGTACTGTCATAGTTCAGCGTGATTTCCCCCACACTTTATATTTTTACAGTCAAATCAAGAGTAATACCATATACATCATTTCAATAGAGAATTTTACACTTGCCCTTCCCATCCACTCCCTACCATCCACTCACCTTTCTCATAGACTCTGGTGTCTACACTTACCTCCCTACTGTCATATCTTCAGACCTTTCCATGTCTGTCATAGAGTGCAGACATTCAGTATATAGTCTGTCGTTTACATATATCTGATCTATCAAGCTATAATAGCACCTCACCCAGCCCATACTTGAAAAAGGCCTACATGTGTGTTGTAAGAATGTATTCACACATGGGACCAGG